CACAGGGGAACCCTGTTAAAAAAAAAAAAAAAAAAAAAAAGGGCTGGAGGAAATGGCAGTTAAGAGCACTGACTGCTCTTGTAGAAGACCTAGGTTCGGTTCCCAGCGCCCATATGGCAGCTGACAACCATCAGTAACTCCAGTTCCAGGCGATCTGATGCTTCCTTCTGTCCTCTGTATTACGTGACACAGGTGCACTTACATATATAAAAAAAAAAAAAAAAAAAAAAAAAAGGGCTGGAGGAAATGGCAGTTAAGAGCACTGACTGCTCTTGCAGAAGACCTAGGTTCGGTTCCCAGCGCCCATATGGCAGCTGACAACCATCAGTAACTCCAGTTCCAGGCGATCTGATGCTTCCTTCTGTCCTCTGTATTACGTGACACAGGTGCACTTACATATATGCAGACAGAACACTCATACATGTAAAATTTTTTTGATTTTTTGAGACAGGGTCTCCTGCTAGCCCCAGATGGCCTGGAACTCAGTGATTCACCAGCCTCTGCCTCCCAAGTGCTGGGATTAAAGGCTTGTGCCATCATGCTAAATTTGTTTTTTTAACTGAAAAATTTCACAGCCTGGGGAGGTAGTTGCACGCCTTTAATCCCAGCATTTGGGAAGCAGGTGGATCTCTGGGACATCCAAGCCAGCTGGGGCTACAGGGAGACCCTATCTCAAAAAGACAACATTATTTTTGCTTGTTGTTGATTTTTTTGTGTTTTGAGATAGGGTCTCTCTGTAGCCCCAGCTGTCCTGGAACTCACTACGTAGATCAGGCTGGCCTTTAACTCACAAAGATCTGCCACCACGGCCCGCTAATAAAATTTTTTTTTTTTTTGGTCATTTTGAGACAGGGTCTCCCTGTAGCTCCAGCTGTCCTGGAACTCACTATGTAGACCAGGCTGGCCTTGAACTCACAGAGATCTGCCTGTCTCTGCCTCCCGAGTGCTGGGATTAAAGGCATGCACCACCATACCCAGCACATCATTTTTTTTTAAAGCAATGCTAATAAGAAATTAAAGATAAAAAAATAAAGTTGGGGGCTGGGGAGATGGCTCAACAGTTAAGAACAATGACTGTTCTTGTGCTCCGTGGGGGGCACTGCACAACACGGGTGCACTTACCTACATGCAGGCATAACACTCATACACATAAAAATAATAAATAATTTAAAAAGATAAAGCAAAAAAAAACAAAACAACAAAAGAGCATTTGCTGCTCTTGCAGAGGACCCAGGTTCGTTGCCAGCACCCACATGGCGGCTAAGAACCTTCTGTAACTCCAGCTCCAGGTGATCTTGACACCCTCTTCTGACCTCCGCGGGCATTACACGATACGGGGGCATTTACATACATGCAGGCAATACACTCATACACATAAAATAAAAATAAAATATTGAATAAAAATAAAGTTCATGTGGACATAGTAAATATGACTCCCTATACAGTGTTTTTGCCTTGCATCAGGGAGACCGGGTCTCTATGCGCAGCACAAGAAAGAAAAATAAATTAAATAAGTAACAAATAAAGGGAAGAAATATTCCACCCGGCAGCCGTCTGGAGGTCCTGCGTTAGGGAGACCGGGTCTCTATGCGCAGCACAAGAAAGAAAAATAAATTAAATAACAAATAAATGGAAGAAATATTCCACCCGGCAGCCGTCTGGAGGTCCTGCGTCCCACCCCACCCCCTTTTCCCATCCTGTAATACGTACCGTTAGGAAATATCACTCGACCTGGTAAGCCGTCTTCGGTCTGATCTTATTTCCTGGTCTTCTTCCCCCTAAACCCAAACCAATCTGACATGATTGCGGAAGACTTCAGAGAAAGGCGGTACGTGGTAACTTCCGTACGGCAAAATGGCGCCCTACAACACCACAGAATAGCCACACGGCACCAGGACGCATGCGCAGCAGCAAACAGCACCACCGCCTCCACCATCACCACCCACAAGTTGCAGTTTCCCGCCCTGGAACCTTCCCAAGCCTCGGCGCCAAGCCTCGCGTGCCCAGAGGACGCGAGGACCCAGGGGGTATGTGTCGGTTGGGGTCCCGCTTGTCCATAACACCCCCACAATGCTGTTTGCCGCCCTCGACCTCGTCCCCCTGCTCCAGGCTCCTTTTCTGGAGCTGGGAAGCCACGTTCTGCCTTATTGAGACCCTGAGGACGGCGAGTGGGTGGGGGACACGGACGGACAGACATCTGTGGAACGCCGAGCAGCTGTGAGATGAAGTAACGTCACGGTGCCCCTCATCACTGCTCCCACCCGGGTTCGAAGAACACGCTCAGGGTTGACAGCAGAACGCTCCACTCGGACCCCGAGAGGAACTGGAGAAGTGCAAAGGGACGAACAGCAGAATGGCTGGCGCCACCGCAGGTCAGCGGGACGGCGCATCCCGAGCACGCCCGACCCCAGTCAGTCCCTCAGCACCGAGCCACACACCTCCGGCCTCTCGCGAGACCCCACGGCCAAGGCGGCTGCGGGCCTGACCGGAGAGCCAGGGGCCCCTCAGCCCCGGCAGCCTAGTACTACACCTCCCAGCCTCTCTACTCAGCGGCGCCGTATTGGGCTTCCGCTTCCGGTGGCGTCTCCTTTCGCCCCGCCCCCCGAACGGCTGCTTCAAAGGCCTCGCGAAGCCTGGGTTGTGCGAGGGTGCTGCTGGGATTGGTAGTTTGCGCTTCTCTCAGTTTGTCAGTTTCTCTTGCTGAAAGGACTACACCTCCCGGCGTCCTCAGAGACTCCCGGTCCTTAGCGCCTGCGCATTGCCCTTTCTCAACCCACCCTAACCTCACCAGTTTCCACTCCCCCACCCCCCACCCTACTTTGGCTGCCGCGGTCGGGTCCACGGCCTGCGTTGTCGCGGTCCCAGTTGTTCCTTGGAAGCAGCGACTCTCCTCCCCCGTCCCAGTCCCCTTCCGCGTCCGGCGGGTGAGTGCCGAGTCCCCGGTCCCTGGGCGCGGCACATGGGGGGCTCTATGCTCCTTGATGTGGGGGTTGAGGCCAAAAGTGCGTGGGGTCCCGCACGGTAGGAGGGTGGGTGGTGGGAGGAGAAGAGGCAGGATGTGGGAATGCCGGTGGACCTCCCCCAGGAGTGCGAAGCGAGCAGGCTTGGGTTTAGCCTGGGAAAGATAAACTTCGGGAGCTTTGGGACAGGCGCCAAGAACATGCGAGGCACCTGCGGTGGTAGGGAGCCCCAAGAGAGCCCTGGCGCAGCTGACACCCCCGGGGAGAGGGGTCTAGCCTTCGGTAGCGCGGGTGGGAACGCAGAAGAGGGTCTGCGCAGGGATACTGCAGAGGCTAGGATCCTGGAAGCCAAGGTGGCGTCGGATTCCTCTGCGATTGGGGACGACGAGTGGTAGGAGGGGAGGACACCAGGCACAGCTTGGGCTTGACTTACACGCTTCTTTTTCAGTTGACGTAAAAATGAGTAGCTCAGAGGAGGTGTCCTGGATTTCCTGGTTCTGTGGGCTCCGTGGTAATGAATTCTTCTGCGAGGTTGGTCCAGCCGCCCTGCTTGCCCGTTCTGCTTGTCCTCCCCAAATAGGAAGCACTTAGTGTCTTACTTGTGTTCAGGGACACACCTTCCTGTTAAAAACAAAATCCTACCAACTGTGGGTTGGTAACCTGTGCGGCACTTGTTTTTTTTTAATGTGTATGAGTGTATTGCCTGTATGTATGTGAACTGCACCTGTGTCGTGCTATGCAGTGCCACGCAGGTCAGAAGAGGGCATCGGATGCCCCTGGAACTGGAGTTAAGGACGGTTCGTAGCTGCCATGTAGGTGCTGGGAATCGAACCCGGGTCCTCTGCAAGAGCAGTCAGTACTGTTAACCGCTGAGCCATCTTCTCCAGCCCCGCTGCCTTTTTTTGCTTGAGTTCAGTTTTCATTGATCATCTGGCCTGGAACTACTATGTAGCCTAGGCTGCCGGCGCTCACACGTGTGACAGCCTTCCTAAGTGCCGGGATCACTGGGTGTGCAGTGATTCATGGCTAACTTGTGGGGGTTTTGTTTGTTTTTAATTACTAGAGAGATATCTGTGGTGACCATTAGGAAAATACAAATGCTATGTGATAGTTTTGCAGTGTGCAAAAGCTGTGTGATGACATAGAGACTTGGAACTGCCTTTCAGAAACTATAAACTGTTCAGCCTACATGGTTCTCAGGGAGTCAGCTGTCCCCAAGGAGAGGGCACAACTGGTTCCTAGAAATCAGGGCCAGAAGCAGACAGAAATCTTCAAAGGAATGTCTCTGTAAGGAGATTGCTGTACCTGCTTAGAAGAAACAAAGTTGGCTGACTGGGAGTTTTTGTTGTGATGGTTTGGTCTTTTTGTAGCCACAGCTGACCTGGAACTCACTGGGATTGAAAGTGTGCACCACCATGCCGGGCCCAAAGTTTTCATGAGAGAAAGACCCGAGTCCTTCTGCAGAGCTGGAATTAGGAAATGAAGGGAACAGATACAGTCTGTTGAGGATAAGGCATTTCTTCCCAGATGAACGGTGGGTTCCTGTATCAATTCCAACCTCTTGACTCCCCTGTCCTGGCAGGTCGATGAAGACTACATCCAGGACAAATTTAATCTTACTGGACTCAATGAGCAGGTGCCTCACTATCGACAAGCCCTAGACATGATCTTGGACCTGGAGCCTGGTAATGCCCCCTAGGGTTGTTGGGGAGGGTGTGCACGTTGCTGAATTTCCTTTTGATTCTCTAGCTCTCCTATCCCCAAATCTGCTCCTGTTTCTTGTGCACATGCTTTTTCCTCCACTCCCCTAGTCCTCCCCGCCCCCATAACCCAAGCTAGACTTTGCCTCCTGATCTTCCTGCCTGAGCCTCTCATGCCAGGATTGTGGCATGTAACATGCTTGGCGTCTTGCGTTCTTTTGGTCCTCACCTAGTTCCTGCCTTAGAGATGGTAACTCTCCTTTCCGTGAGCTCTGGATCTAACTCAGCTCTGTTTCATAATGTCAGTTTCCTTGTGGGTTCTGTTTACTGCCTCTTTCTTCTGATTTAAAGGGTTGCCTTCTGCATTGATACTATATTTATGTGTTAGTGGGAGAAGAGGGTAGAGGCTGACGAGGTATGGAGCTGAGTGATCCTGGGTTTGTAGAAGTGTCACAAGCCCAGGTTTCTGGGTTTGATGCCCAGGTGAAGCATAGGGTGAGGCCCAGCAATGGGTCCCTTGTAAACTGTGTAGGCTGCCACCTTGGGGGAGGGTGAGGTAACTGGGAAAGCTTAAAAAACCAGTGACCATCCCACGTTTCAGATGAAGAGCTGGAAGACAACCCCAACCAGAGTGACCTGATTGAGCAGGCCGCTGAGATGCTTTATGGGTTGATCCACGCCCGCTACATCCTGACCAACCGAGGCATCGCCCAAATGGTGAGGCCTCTCTGCTGCCCCTGCTTCTGAGGCAGTAAAGGGAAACAATGCCTACAGCGAAAAGCCTGTGTCATCCTTCAGTCTCGGAAAAGAGGAAGCATCTCACTGAGGGTCCCACTTGAGGGAGTTGTTCCCATGGAGGGAGTTGAGACCTGGGACTGGGAGAAGTGATAGATTGCTTTTGCCACAGGGAACTGGACACAAGGCAGCAGAGGGTTCTGGGCCTGTCTTGGCAGAGAAGGGATTGAAAGAGGGAGGCATGGGGGACAGTGTCATGAGCTGCACTGAGAAAGGGATTGTCTCTGCACACTTAACCACCAGTCCCTTCCCTGTTCCACATCCCAGTTGGAAAAGTACCAGCAGGGAGACTTTGGCTACTGTCCTCGTGTGTACTGTGAGAACCAGCCAATGCTTCCCATCGGTGAGTGTTGAAGAAGGGAGGGGAGGGCACCGTGTGGCAGCCCTCAAAGAAGTTGGGGCTAATCAGGCCAGTGCCTGAGTCCTGGGGGAGAGGGTCGGGGTTGGAGTCTGTAATGTCTGGCTGTCCGCAGGCCTTTCAGATATCCCAGGCGAAGCCATGGTGAAGCTCTACTGCCCCAAGTGCATGGATGTGTACACACCCAAGTCATCAAGGCACCACCACACGGATGGCGCCTACTTCGGCACTGGCTTCCCTCACATGCTCTTCATGGTGCACCCCGAGTACCGGCCCAAGCGACCTGCCAACCAGTTTGTGCCCAGGTGGGGAGCAAGAGTGGTCACCAAGGTCAAAGAACATTCCAAGGTCTCCCGGGAGAATTGGGAACACGCATCACGACTTTTTTTTTTTTTTCAAACTTCTTGTATTTTCTAATTTATTTTTTAATATTTTATTTTACTTTTTAAGTTTATTTTTTGAATTTTATTTATATTTTTATTTTGTGTGTATGCATGTATTGCCTGCATGTAGGCAAGTGCACCCGTGTCGTGCAATGCCCGTGGAGGTCAGAAGAGGCTGTCAGATCCCCTGGGACTGGAGTTACAAACAGTTGTTAGCTGCCATGTGGGTGCTGGGGATTCGAACCCAGGTCTTCTGCAAGAACAACCAGTGTTCCTAACCGCTGAGCCATCTCTCCAGCCCCAATGTGTGAACCATTTAAGAATAATGTGGCATTTGATACATCGGTTTAACAGTGACTGTTACTGCTACCGTCTTGGATGCTTAACCTTTTGCCCAAAGATCCTCAGGTTGTGGTTAAGCAGAGTTTCCCTTCCCGGCTTGTCATTTTTACTGTTTACCAGGGAAGAAAGATTCCATTTTGTATTGAAGCAGGTAATGATCTACAGCTCCTTAAATTGGAAACTTCATGTGATTAGGGATTTAATCCAGGGCCCCGAGCCTGCTAAACATGTGCTCCATCCCTGAGCTACACTCCCAGCTTGTTTTTTTGGTGGTGGTTGGTGTTTGTGTGTGTCCGTGAGGCAGGGTCTCTGTGGTCTAGGTTGGCCTCTAGGGATCATCCTCCTGCCTCGGCCTCTCCTGTAAATGGTGCTGTTAGGGATATGCCACCATGTTCAAGATAAATTTTCAGGTATTCATGAGCAGAGGTTGGAGAAGGGAATTTCTGTTCTTAAGCGTTAAGGAGGCCTGTGGAGGAAGCCAGGATATTGAGGAGGGGATGCCAGCCACTGGCAGGGCCAGAAGGGCACTCACCTGCTTCCTCTCTGACCTCTGCCCCTCCCAGGCTCTACGGTTTCAAGATCCATCCTATGGCTTATCAGCTGCAGCTCCAAGCCGCCAGCAACTTCAAGAGCCCAGTCAAGACGATCCGCTGACTCCCCACCCTCCCTCTGTCTTTGACACCACCTTTCTTTTGCCGTCACCCTTTCAGGAACTCTGTGTGGTTTTTAGTTTAAATTAAAGGAATCGTTACTGTGGTGGGAATATGAAATAAAGTGGAAGAAAAGGCCATGAGCTAGTCTCCTGGTGCTTGTGGTTGGGAAAGGGAAGGTGGTGGTGTGCTGGACCCCAAGGGCCCTCCTCATAGCCCAGCCCCTCCTCCCTAGGTTGAAACCAGCATAGGTTGGTGCCCCATGGATTTGGGTAATGATTACAGTATGGAGCTGACAAGGATTCTTAGGTTGAGGCGGGGGAAGTAAAAGGTTGGAAAGAAAAAATTTCAAAGGCTAGAGAAGCATCGGTCTTCGGTCGCCATGGCTGTCTGTGTCTGTCATAAGGACTTTAGCATACTCACAGTTTTGCTTTTAAAAGGAATGTAACCCTAGCCAGGCGTGGTGGCGCACGCCTTTAATCCCAGCACTTGGGAGGCAGAGGCAGGTGGATCTTTGTGAGTTTGAGGCCAGCTTGGTCTGCATAGTGAGTTCCAGGACAGCTTGGGCCTACAGGGAAACCCTGTCTCAAAAAGATAATTAAAAAAAAAAAAAAAGAATGTAACCCTAAAATAAATAGAACTGGAGTGGAGACAAGTTCCAGAATTGCAGCTCAGTGGTGTTCATGTGCCCCCTGCTGGGGGAGCCCAGACATTTCAAAAGGATGGAGGCGCTTCTCCCTGGCCAGCCTCTCCCAGCATAATGGAATCCTGTTATCCGACCCTGTTGTGTAGGACAGCAGACAGTGCCAAACACAGGCACTACCCATGGCCCTTGAGGAGAGGGGTAGATCTTTCAGGGGCACATTTAGGACAAAACTGGATAGAGACCTAGTTGATGCCCAGGTATCACTGCTGTCTGGGTCACTGCTCCCATGGAAACCAGACCTTGTGGGTGAGGAGGACACACCGTGCTTCCTGCCAAATTCATAACTTCCTGCCCCCTGCAGAAATACAGCTCTGCACCTACATACAGCACCTCCTGCTCAGACTGCCAGTGGAAACCACGCTGCAGCTCAGGATTGAGGAGCGTGGTCCCACGAAGGTGGAGGGTCAGGGTCTCCCACAGGAGCTGCCCCTCTTCCCCAGGTTCCATAATGAAGGCCTGTATGCTTATAGGTGTGCTGGTCATAGTGGGCTTTGTAATGGGAAGGGGTAAGTGGGGCCCAGGGCTGGGAGGAAGGGGACAACCATCCAGGAGGAGGGTGGGGGTGGAGTTGGGGCCCTGGATACTCTTAAGCCGCTGTCACCAGTTCATTTGTTCCTTCTGTATGTCCAGTTCCAGTTCCTGATGTCCGGACCTGCCACTTCTGCCTCTTAGAAGACCCTTCCTTGGGCTGCATTTCCGGCTCAGAGAAGTGCACCATCAGCAGTTCGTCCCCATGCATGGTGATCACCATCTATTTTGGTGAGTGGATTCGGGGAAGGGACTGCTATTAGAACAGATGTGGCTTGGTCTTCTCAAAAATGTGAGAGCTGTTTGGGGGGGTCTGGGCTTTACAAGGACGAGCCCAGTGTCTTGGAAGGAGTTGGGGGTTGTGGGGTTTTCGGAGGCCAGTGAGTGATTTTTATTTTATTGCCTCTTATGAGAGTGCCTAGAATAAAAGGTCTGGGGAATTAGTGACAGGGTGGTTAGTTTGGGGAGGGGGGGGGTTATTAAAAGGGGTTATGACTGTCCCCTCTTCCTTAGATCTTAACGTTCGTTTCAACGTCCGAGGCTGTGGACAGCACAACTCCTACCGCTGTAAAGAAAAGCGCAACACCTACTTCCCAGAGTACTGGTACCAAGCCGACTGCTGCCAGTATGATTACTGCAACTCCTGGTCGAAGGCCCAGGTTCGGGACCCTCCGCACAGGCCCTCCAAAGGACCCCTGGCTCTGCCCCTGTCTGGCTCCCAGACAAGCCAGTTCTACCAGGCCCTGAACCTGTCCTTGCCCCTGCCTAGCTTCCATGTGGATAAGGAGCCCGAGGGCCTGGACCCCCTCATCACCTTGCCCCTGGAGCTGGGCTTCTCCATTGCTGACCTGCGCCGAATATACCTGTTTCTCAACAGTTCGGGACTTCTGGTTCTTCCCCAGGGCAGACCCTGACCCATTTCCCTTCCCACCTCCTGCTCTTTCCCAGAATGGCCTCCCACACTGCCCTCAGAAGGTACTCGCATCCCTGGTCCCTGATCTCTCGGGCCTCTCTCACCATGTGTGGCCTTCTAATTCTGTTGCTAGTCTTCTGAGCTCCTAGGCAAGAATCTCAAGTATGGATTCCACCCAGACTGGTCTGAGAAAGGCACAGAGGCCCCCATCCTGAGTGTCACCATCTTCCCATCCCTTCATCTGGTCACCTGCCACATTCACTCAACTGGCTCTGTATCTCTTGCCTTACGCCCATCTCTAAGACTCAGTGCCACGCTGAGCCTACAGCAGGAAGGGTAAAGGGTAGACTTGTGTGCAGCTTTCCTGACCTGGTAACCTGGTCTTATGACCTCCACCATCCTGGTCTGTTGCTCCGACTTTGTCCCAGTCTGGCCTCCTCCGCCTCATTTCAGTTCACTGGGGGCCTCCATCCACAGCCATCCGTGCCTGGTGAGGAGGGGCAAGGTCCATCCTCATTTCCTCCACAATAAACCAGGATTAGGGCAAATCTGTGTTACATTGTTTGTGGGGTTAGGTTAGATGTGGGCAGGTAGGTGTAGGCTGGTTAAAGACAGTTGAGTGTGGGATTCAGACAGGATTGCTGAGTCCTGCCCACTATTTGACCTTTGTGGCTTCCTCTCAAATTGCCCTAAAGGGCCATATCCTTTTCACCCGCTGCTCAGCTAAAGATCAAAACATGGAAACATTCCCCACTTTAACCATAACCTGTAAAACTTGGACCATTAAGCCCACCTGCTGCCGGGGAAACGTCATTAAAGTCATGCCCCAGTTACCTCGTTCATCTCAACATCTTGGCACCCAGGACCCTTTCTGTGGGGGTCTCAGTTGGGTATGTGGAGTACATGGTGGGCTACATTAGATGAATCTTTAGTATTTTTGGAGTTTTTGAGTCAAGGTCTGGGTAGCCTAGGCTGGCCTTGACCTCCTGACCCTCTTCCTCCCAAGAGCTGGGAATACAGGAGTGTGCCACTACCCTCACCATTTAAAATACTTTTTTGAAAGATTGAAAACAATGATGGATGCTTACAAATGAACCTTTCCTATAAGTTCAGCAGCGGCCACGCTGTTCAGAGCCAGCTGTTGGGTACCAGGACTGCGGGCGGGCGGGTGGGTGGCTCCCAGCTTTGCAGCCCAGTGCTGGAGTCTCCAGTTTGTTCTCTCAAGAGCAGTACAGCTTTGTGGCTGGGAGGTTCAATCCCAATTTCTCTGTCACCTGGGTGAGTCAGTTCTGTAGCCTCACGAATCACAAGGAGGCCGCATGCTTCACACAGGTGTGTGTGCTTTAGGGACAAATGTACAGCCTTGTTTTTAAAATTTTTTTAAAGGTTTTGGGAGCGCTTTAATGACACAAAATGTTTATAGCTACAGGTTATACATGTGTTGTAAACAGTATATAATGATACAAAGTACTAACTAGATAGATGAGTGGATTCTATTGATTGACTCAGTTAATTCTGATCATTTCAACTGCTTCCCTTGGAGATCCATCTCACTCCACAGTCCATTTCCATGGCAGTCGGGTTACATGTCCCACTTTTCCTTGTGCAAGTCTGTGCTGTTTTCCTCTTGATTTACAGACATCTGAGCCAGTGTTCAGCAAACATTCAAAAAGCCTGCTTTTCATCGCAAATTATAAACAGGTATAAAGCTTTTTAAACATTAATCTTAACTCTCAACAAATGGTTGAATTCTGCTTTCCAACTGAATAATCTGTTTCATTCAACCACAGTCTGGGTAGGAGCGCCAACTGTGACCCTGTGCTGGGGCAGCCACCCGCCAGGACTGCAACAAGCTCACTGATGGTCGACTCCACCATGACATGTTCAGTGGTCTCACTGATACATCCAGAAAATGGCAAGACTAAATTTAGTCTTAAAGTTGAAAAAAAATCATAAATATACCCAGAGTTAAACAGCACTACAGATAAAAGTGCTACTGACTTCAGAGAGAAGGCAGTGTACAGCCTGTAAAAGTTGTTTTTATCGGCCGGGCATGGTGGAGCATGCCTTTAATCCTAGCACTTGGGAGGCAGAGGCAGGCACATCTCTGTGAGTTCAAGGCCAGCCTGGTCTACATAGTAAGTTCCAGGACAGCTGGGACTACAGGGAAACCCTGTCTCAAAAAGACCAAAGGAAAAAAAAAAAAGTTTTTATCTAAGTGGTGATTCTGCTCTTCTCTCTCCTGGTGTCAATCGCATTACAAACTGTAGCAGCAGCTTAGTTTTACTAGCCTTGCCAATTTTACTAGGCTTTTAAAAAAATAATTAGTCATCAGATTTACTTTCTTCCTAGAGAAATTCAGACACTTGAAATAAATAGGCAAGAAGGAGAATCAAGCGTTACCAGGTTTAAGAGTAAGAAACAGGGTAGACGACATCCACAATTACTTAGACATCAAATGCCAGAAAGAAAAAGAAAATAATCCACAGAAACAGTTTTGGAAATACTCTTATTCCTAAAGATAAACAGCTATGTTCTTGAAAAAGGCTAGAAATTAATCTCATTTGTGTTATTTCCAGTATAACACACCAATTCTATAAACCTATATGTGGGAGAGGAAAGTTAGTTTCTGCACACTGGCAAACCTGGTTGTCATGGTGTTTTTATTCAAGTCAACCCGGTGTACCTTATAGATCGCCAGCTACAAAATTCACAATGGTTCTCCAACTACCACACTGTCTACATCCTCAACAGTAATGTTTATATATAAAACGTAGAATTCTCCAGAGTTATGCTGTGTGAAATCCAACAAAATCTACTTGAAATAATCTGCAGTCCTGATGCTAACAATTTGGTCCTAAAGCTTCACATTTTAGAAACAGATGAGAGTCCGTCATTGAAGGGATCTGCTGAATGTTCTAGAGTATCAGGAGTTTGCCACAACCGAAAAGGTGGCCACGTTTGAAAATTCCCAGGCCTGAGAGAGCCTGAGGACACCTTGGGAAGGGCACAGTCACCACCAGGAAGTGAGGGACCAGGAAGTAATGAGTGGCATCTTCCCAGAATCTTGTCAGCTGTTCCCACAACCCAGGTCTGCTTTCCCAAGTTACATAAGTGCTGGAGTAACTCTGAAGCAAACTTCTTCAGAATCTAAGAGGGGCTTCCTAAAACAAGAAGCCTGTGTTAACACCATGGACTGGACTCCTTCCAAAGTCTCTTCTTAGGACCAAAAAAAAAAAAAAAAAAAAAAAAAAGAGAGAAAGAAATTAGAAAAAAAATTAAAGTTATGAAAAGTTCACATGCAGCTAACACATGAATATAGCAAACACACAAAATCTCAAAAGCAATTTCATGTATATCCAGGCCTTAGGTGTTCCTTATCAGAAATAAAGACTGTTCCATATAACACACTGGTATTAAATCTGTCTTGTAGTTCTACTTCCTGTCTGTCACTCACGCAGGCCACCTCCTCCAAATTAAAGGCGCTATTAGGAGGCTTAGAAAAAAACACTTCCAAAGCTGCTTTAAAATAATTTTTATTGCCCAGGTTATTTTTCCTTGTGTCTTGCTTTTTTTGTTATGTTTTCTTTTTAAATAACTATGTATTCAAGCATAGGGAAGCTTGTTTTTGTCTTGGAAAAAAACCCTAAACAAAGCTTTTATAGTATTGTTTGCTAGCCTGATCTCATTTAGAGCGATCACGTGGCTAGCTCCAGCATGAAATAACAGGCCTGATTCTGGTGTACTAAAGGGACATAGCATTGTTGACAAAATTAGAATCTGCTGGTGGCATTTGCGGGAAAGAAGCCCTTGCAAATTTCTAAACCACAGTAAACTGTTAGGAAATTCTTTTTTGGGGGGGGGTCTTTTTGAGACAGGGGCTCCCTGTAGCCCCAGCTGTCCTGGAACTCACTATGTAGACCAGGCTGGCCTTGAACCCAAAGAGATCCACCAGCCTCTGCCTCGAGAGTCCTGGGATTAAAGGCCACCATACCGGCCTTCTGTTAGGAAATTCTAAAGTGTCTTCCAAGCCAAAAAGAGAACACAGTTAATAAAACGCCTCAGCAGAGTTGAGTTTGACTGAAATACTGGATTTGAAAGTTACTGGAATTGGGTATGTAAAAACCAGGTCATGGGTAGGGGTCATGCTTACAATGACCTCAAATTCGGAAAAACTACAATGTACCACTTTACCGGCCACGCGCATTTCCGGGGCTTTTCCTCCCCTCAGTAGGTGCTGGTAGAAGGTGTGCTCAGTCGTTTCCCAATACAGATGCCTAGCCCCAAAGCCAGCCCGTGGGAAAGGAAGCGAGGTGGAATGAGCACCTTCAGGACCTGCGGGTAAGATGCCCCTTCTTCATGGCTCCCCTTCTCCCCGAGCTCAGAGACACAGCAGCTTCGGTGTCTGAGATGGAATCTGGCGGTGTTCTCGGCTCTATGGGGCCAGGCCGATGCCCAGTCTGCACTTTTCTTCTCAAAGTCTCAACAGTCCTTGTCTCCTCCTACAGCGTCTTCTGCGAGCTATGGTCCCTGCTGGTGTGCACCTCAACATCAGACATGATCTGCCTATCTTCCCCCGGGGCTGCTGTGTCTGACTCATGCTGTGCTTCCCGGAGAATCCTCTCCGTCTCCGCGGGGGATGGAGGATGAGGAAGGACGTGGGGGCTCGACCAGGTGGGAGGCTGGGAGCACGCTCTCGGGCAGGGGGTGGGGGGGCCAGCACCTCGATTTTTTTTTTTTTTTTTGAGACAGGGTCTCACTCCAGCCCAGCTGGCCTTGAACTCATGGCAATTCTGCCACAGTCTTCTGAGAACCTGCACGTGGTACCACAGGGCAGAAGCCCATTTTGTGAGCCTTTCCAGCAATCACACAGGAGCCTCTACTTGCAAGGGATTTGGTCACAGTGCACCTGTGTGACCTACCTTCCAGGCAGCACAAAGGCCTGAGACTGCCTTCGCATTCCTCAGTGAGCACGCCTAACTCGTGCAGACACTTCTTCACAGCAGCTTGGGTTCGATTTTGTTTGCTTAATGGAAATGGCCTTGTATAACATTCTCTCACCTGTATATTTTGCTCATTAGCAGATCTATACCTCAAACACACCAGTGTTAACTTTCAAGTCCAAATCAAAGTGCAAAGACCAAGCCTTCTGTGTCTGTCTCCTTCTTACTGGGCCCACCTTTCCCTATGG